ATGTAATATATATGTATATATTGCATGTTTATTACTGACAACCAGTAATCCCTCCGTGGTTAAAGCTGCAACCAGATTCCATTCCAACTCATGGGTTAGTTTCTGCATCCCTATAACCACACTACTTTCTCTCTCCCCTAACGTCTTGACTATAAAGACAGGGCACTACCATCACTATTGTCTTTTTAATGTTATTTAACTCCCCTTGTGAATCTAGCTCTTTGCTTGTATTAAAAATGCCTGGAAATGAAACAAATTGTTTCATTTCTCCTGCTATTCTGAGAGATTCTGGTTTGGGGTCAACTCAAAACAATATTCTTAAATTGACCGGTTATTCACATAGCAGTAATGTCAGGTCAGCTAGGAAGCAGTGAGGTCTAAACAGGAGGCAGGCAAAATTCATTGCTTATAAACGTCACATTTCAGGAACTTAGCGGGGGACACTGGACAACTCTGCCTTAGGCTCCACATCTTTCAAAAACACGGAAGTTGTAATATGCAGTAACAAAATGCCGCTATGGTGTCGTTGGCCAAGGGGAATATTTGTTTAAACGTGGCTCATTCAATCCGTAGCCCAAGAACAGCAAGAGTGACAATTTTTGTGTTTTAGTATTTCTAATTCATACCACAATATCCGAGCAAGGTTCTGATGACAAGGGACATTTAAAATCAGAACAGCTCTGTAAAGAAGGAAAGGTATCATCAACCTTTAACAGGTGGGAAACTGAGCCACAGAACAGCTTAAGGGATGTGCCTAAAGTCTCTGTGTGATACACTGAGGTTGAGCCAGGAAATCAGCCCATATCCTGTGGGTCTGTGCTCAGTGCCCTTTGTCGAGACTGCCCTTCTCCTAATCTGGTGGTGGTTTTAGTGAGAAAGATACTTGCACGTTAGAAACTGAGCTGAAAGTTAAGTGGATTTTTAATTTTTTTTTTGGAAACCTGCTCTTCTGTATTGGCAAATTTAGATTTATTCTAGCAGATGGAAGTATTTGGAACGTTTTGCTGCAACACACAGAAAGACAGAAAAAAAGAAAAGCAAGATACCTGGACTCTGGCTCCAAAGCCAGTAAGGGAGCAGCCCTGTAGTAGCTGCACTTTATGGTACTCACCCGACTTCCATATACATGGACAAACGATTAAACAGCAAGTGTCAGACATTTTTCTGGCACCAGATGGAAAAGGCAGAATGGAAAAGAAAGGGAGAAATAAAAGGAAGGAGAGCTCCCCAAGACAGCACACAGACAGGAGCCAAGTTAAAACTTTCTGGTACTAGCCCAGAATGAAGGAAATGAAATTGC